CTACTATCTTACTATCACATTCCTTTCGCATCATCTTTAATTTTAGCAATTATTGATTTTAAAGAATCATATATTTACATATCTATGTATTTATTTACTTTTTGTTTTTCTCACTGTACATCATATTCCACTAGAGCAAAGTCCTTGAACATGTTCAACTGTATCTTCAGGACTTAGAACAGTGCTGGCATTTAATAAATCCCCAGCATCATTTTTTTTTCCATGAAGAGAAGACTGTATCTCTAGAACTTTGTGGTTTTCCCAGTCATATCTGCAGCTATGACTGGGAAAAACATTTCTTTCTCTAATTCTATTCTTCTTAAGGGTTAGACTCAGAAGCTTCACCTGATGATCCATTGCAAACTTCATTGTGTTATTTTTGTAATCACTGAATCTTCAGGATTTCCTTGTTTTTGTAGAAAAATATTTACCATCCTTCTCTGTTCTTTCATCTTTCTTCTAGCTATAAATCCTCTTAATATGCACCCCCTGCCACAAAGACATTTCTTTTATTATAACCCTCACATGGCAACTGGGAGTCACTTTTCTGCAATATACCCATGAGAACATGACTGCAATACTTATTGTGTTAATGAGGCAATCACTGTTTCCTTTAAACAAAGATAATAAAAACCAAGCACTGCAATGGTATGTAAAATCATCCTCAAAATTCCCCCAACTCAATGTCTAATTCATTTCTTGCTCTGCTTCCCTGTACAGTGTGCCCAATGTATTGAACACGGCCCTCATTTCCAGGCGAGCAACTCTCCAGTCCCCTTCGACACTGCCTCATTTGAGAACTCCATTCCCTCTGCTTGAGACTGCAACAGTTCAGGTGTGTCAATAATAACTTCTGGAAAACTTATTTCGGTTTTATCATTTACATTTAGCCAGAGTTTTGCTTCAGCTTTTTCATTACTGAAGGTATTTTTCTGATTTCTAAAAAAAATCATGTACCAATAAGAAGCATCTTATTTCATAAATAGGTCTAGAGGAAGACCCTTTCCTCTAGACTGGGGGCTCCCAAAACCAAGACACTCCAATATCTATTGTTTTCTTGCCTTTGTATATAACCATTCCTTACTTTGAACACTCAGAATGTCTAATGATGCCTTTGTGCACTTCATTAGTTTAATCGATAAATTCCCTTCTAGAATATTTCAAGCTTTTTTGCTGTTCACCTCTGTGACTATATTCCGTGGCCTTGAATGCAGGAGGCCTTGGGAGCATAGGCTCGGGGTACGCATGCTTGATGGTGGACACCTGGAGTATGGTGTGGGCATGGACACACCCGATCAGAGGGACTGAGGATACAGCATCACACAGAGGGCAGTATGAGGTTGAGAGGGGCGAAGAATGGCTACAAGTGAGTATCAGAGTGAGCTCAAAGAAGGAGTCAAGATTCACTGGGGGCTAGGAGGCCTGCCAGCCTTTTGGCCCCCTCTCCCCCCCCCACCCACTCCGTGCTGCATGCCTGCCACTACAATCAATCACTAAACTGTAAACAATTGATAGGTATGTGGACGATAAAAAATATGAACTATCAACAAAATTAGCATGTATTTATAACTTGTAAGTAGTATTTTATACATTGCCATTTAATATTCCTCATTCAATACTTAGTCCTCAGATTCTTGGAAACTCCTCCCCTTATCTGTTTTTCCATCCCTTTAATTTAGACTGACATGTAAGTGTTTTTGACTAGTTGGCTGCAGAAGAAGATGCTTGGCTATTTCCAGTGTAGACATTAAGAGCCTACTGCTTGTTCATTGACAGCGAGCAGGCAAGTAAGAATACTGATGGCCATATTGGATCACGATGGAGAGAGGTACAGGTGAGTCCGGACTTCTAGGTTAACCAGCTAGAAAGTAAAACTAAAGTAATACTGTCCTGGAGGTTCCAGACTGATCACCTGCCAGCTTACAACAACAAATCTTGTTTAGTTGATTCTCTGTATTTAAGAACTTCTTACCTAGTTGTAATAATTTTTTGACCCCAAGATCATGAAATAAATTATATCAATAAATTTTTTTTAAGTATTTAGTTTTGAGTTTGTTTTGATCAATTTGTCTATCATAATTCCATTTTATAGTAAATTAAGTAGGTGTAACACACTGAGTGCTTTCCTAAACCTGTTTAGTCAATCAGTGTCCAAATAGGCTATATGTTTTATCTTCTGTATACAATTCTGTATAGCCTCTACATCTTGATGCAGGCACAATAAATATTTGTTTGAGTTTGCCCATATCACTGAGCAAATAGTGGAAGTAGAGAGGCATTCTGATCAAAATTCTGGATATAAAATTAGATAGGATGGCCAAATTTTGCAAAGGTAAATATAGAATGGTTAAATTTGAATTTCAGATAAACAAGCACAAATGTTACTGTGTAAGTATATTCCATGCAATATTTGGTACTTACTTATATGAAAAAAGATGGTTATCTGATTCAAGCTTAAGTGGTTGTCCTAGCAAATGCAACCCAAACAGAGAAAATACTTAACATCGCTTTGGAATGAATCCGAGAACTCTGAATCTCAATTAGCTAATCTACAGTGGAGGATAACATAACTTAGCACATGGGAGAACTGGGGAGATAAAGTGAGATAGTACTTGGAAGGGTTCCTATCTTCATGTCTCCCACACCTCAGATGACTACTAAATGTTAGTTGAACTTTAGTCTCATTCCAATTCTGTTTCTCAAATATTTACTGCATATTAAACCCTCAAACATCAGTTCTGTCCTTTTATTTTTTTATTCCATGACTACACCATTCTGAAATAAATGTATTTATTTAGGGCTTGCTAAAAGCCTATGTTTTAGGAAAAGTATATTTGTTTATATGTATATTCAATTTTTACAGTACTATGTAATAGCGTTTTATTGAACCTTTTAAATTGGTCCTTGGTTTTATCAACATTTTGACTTGAAAAACAGAGGTTCATTGACGCTAAACTGCTTGATAAGTCTATAGAGGCAGTAAACACACTTTAAGGAATAAATGAAAGAAAAGGAGGTTCTTTAGAAATCTCTGCAATACCCAGATCAATAACGAATGCCCATCTTCACATTGCTACCTTCTATTGGAAAATTCATCTTTTATTCCTAAAGAAGTCCTTTGAGTGCACAACTTTCAAATTTGTTACCAAAAGAAGTATTTTCCAATTGTATTCTTTTCTCTGAGACATAACAGGTGAAAAGTCACACATTTATAAAATTCACCTCAAAGAATTTGTCTCAGAGAGATAAAACAGGATAAAATATTTAGTACTATTTTTCAATAAGAAAACCAACCACTTGAACCAAATATGTTTCCTGGCTACATAGACTTTTGGACAAAATTATTTTTAGGGTGTAAGTCAGGCCCTGCTTTGTTCACACATTTTGACAACTAGGTTATCTCACTTAATCATGGGTTTTTGAAAATCCATCTACAAGCGTTTAATAAACAACCAAGAAGATATATGTGGTTCAATTCAGCAATATATAAAATAAGAACTTTAGACTTGACAGGACGTGGATACAGTTTCTAGCTCAGAAACTCATGTTAGAGATAATAAAACTGAAGGCCATAGAAGTCGAATGAATCAAGATCACAGCATATTAGTGTCAGAGAAAATCAATTTAATGAGTATTTGTTGTTAATTGCTACATTTATTCCAGTGTTGTTGAACAGTATTGGTGGTCAGTATGCTTCAGACCTTTTGTCAATGAGCTTATAATCTATTCATACCATACAAGCATGAACTGTTATCCAAAGTGAGCACAGTAACATCTGATTATAAGCTAAGTAGAACAGTTTTGCATATTGTCTAAGTATTAGTGCCTCTGAAATTCAGAATAATTCCAGAGCACCCTTAAGAATTCTAGACCCATGCATCCTACTCTGAATTTGACATCTCTATTTTAATGTGCCACAAATATTTCAAGGTGAAGATACTCAAAATTCCACTCATAAAGTCACCCTTATATTTTACTTTTCCACTACAAATACATATTCATGGATTTTCTTTTCACTTCCCAAGTGCTCAAGGCCACTTGGACACAAAACATTATAATGACTTAAATAGAATAGCATTTTCAAGCTTGGGTTTAATCTAAAATTTTCTTCTTATTTGTTCTTTGTTTTCCTTTAAATCTAGTTGACCCTTTTCTTACCTAGTAACTATGCATTTTCAGAGGAAGTGTTATAGGCTCAGTAACTGCCAGTGGGGAGAACGCACAGAAACCACAGAAATGATCTCTATCTTTCCACCCCACTTCCATGCAGGCAAATCTCAGATACTTTGAATTATAACTCCCAGCAGGCTATGAACCAGACTTCCTGAATGGACAGTTGCTGGGAAGGAGGAAGGAGAGAGATGGCCATTGTGTGAGGAGCAAAGGATGCACAGGGACCTTGTCCCTGGTCTTTGTTCTTCGCAGCTTTTGTGCTTTTGGCAGGTGGGCTTTTCAGAAACAATGGCAGCTGTCACCTTGCCCTCATGGTAGATTTTACGGCTTGGATGGTGCATTGTGAATTTGTGGTCTCTCCTTCTCTCTGAGAACACTGGGCCCTGCTTGGCCTTCCTGACAGTGTGTTACTGGGACTTATTCTAGAAGATTGGCTTTGGGGCCTTAGCCACCCTGCTCTGGGTTCAGCCTGTTTGATGAGGCATTTTCCCATAATGAGATTGGCGATTTCGGTTTGTTGTGGAGTCTATAATGAAATCAGTCTCTCCCTTGCTCCTCTCTTCCTCTATCAAAAGTCTTTGAGCACACTAGAGTCTGATGTATGTGTGAGTGGTACAGACCCTTAAAATGGGCAACATGGATTATTCCCCTTAACAAACTGGATTCCCTGGATATTTCTCAGAATCTGGAACATCTCTGCTCTTCTCCACATTTACATTTATTTTTCTATTTTCAGTAAATGCTAATGCTTTCCAGTCTGATCTTCATAGGAGCAATTAGCAGCAGATCAGTGCCCCTAGGGAAGAGAGAAGAGGCAAGGAAGAAGTCCTAAGAATGCCGAAAGATGGGTAAGGTCATTCCTACACAATGAGATGATAGCTTTTTGCCTTCTTTTGGTAGATTTGTTAAATTGCATTTGCTCTCTTTAATATTAGCCTCATTCCAATGTTTTCTTCCAAGGCACCATTAAGGAACACAGACTTCTCATTGGAAAATAATAAATCCCTTCAGCTGTGATTCCACACGGATGTGCCAATGTGATTATGGTTGCTGTAGATAAAGATCATCACTCTGTTTTGCCTAATGAGTAAAAATATGAGCCTCCTGGCTGTTGCTAACTGTGTAATTGTGTTGTTGGCTCTATCCCACTCACTCCCTTAGAAAAGCTGCACTCTTTCTTGATTTGATCTTTTCATACCACTAAACCAGGAAGGGTTCTTTTCCTGACAGTGAGATGATACCGATTTTTCTTTAGAAAATTGACTTGATGCTACAAATATATGAAGGTAGAACTATAATTACTGCTTCTCTACCCCATAGCAAAGGCCGAAGGGAATATATGAAAATTCAATAAATGCATAATTACTAAGGACTCAGATCTATTAAAAGTATTAAAAGTTTAAGCAAGTTGACTAGGTAAAGAACCCATATTATTGAGGTACTACTTAGGAAAAAGAACAATATAAAATTGATAATGGGGAAAAAGTGATGAAAACAAATTAAATACTCATATCCTATTACAGATAACATACATTGCATGTTTCTTTTTATATCAATAATTTATCTGTTAAGAAAATTAAAAGCATTAAATCATCACTTGCTTTGGACTATGACTTTGAAATGCACACGGGAATTAGTTCATCCTATGAATAATGCTAGGCTAGGCTTTGTATTTTCTAATTGGCCCAGAAAATACCATTGCTTGAAAATCTTTGACATGAAGCTATAATTATTCAAATATAATATCCAACACAGAGGTGAACACATACATACAAGTAAGGACATAGGACTTACACAGAATAGCCAGAAGAAATAATGAGAAATACAAATATTGTTATAAAAAAATGTATTTTACTCCATTCAAAATGATAAAGTCAAATTTGAAAGTTTTATGAAGGAATGGAAACAGTCATATAATGTTGTAAACCAATGTTATCTCAAAAAATGATAAGATCAATAATAAATAATGGTTTTAAAAATATAAACACACTGTGATGATTAGACTTTTATTCTTAGTTTTCTGTACTGAAGACTGTGGCCTAGAATATAGGTCAGCAGGTGCCATCTAGAGTGAAGCACACAAACAAATGATGAAAAACATAGAAATAAACGTTTGACCCAGTAAACAGGCTGATAAAATCTCACAGATATTTAATTGGTTTTCAGAGAGAAAAAAAAAAAAGAGAGAAAAGAAAATGTTGTAAGAAATTATTGCTGGGAAATTTATATAATTTCAGATAGAGTTTCCAGATTAAAGAAACCCTGAAAGTATGAGGAAATTTAAAAAAAAAAAATCCATTCTTAAGCATATGATTTTGAAATCATATGAAATATGAAATAATTTCAACTTTAATAAAAATAAGAGATTAAAAGGAAAGATATATACAAACTTCTCAACAGCAGTAATGGAAGTCATAATCCAATGAAATCATGCCATCATTATGGGAGGAATAAAGCTTTCCAAATTAGAATTGTATCACACATGAGAAAAAAATTGTGAAATGAAAGCAAAAAAAAACCCCAAAAAACAACCTTATCAAACTGTTGCAACTAAGAGAGTTTGCCACCAGCTTATTAGGGCAAAAAAGGAATTCTGTAAGTTATTCCTCAGCCCAAAGGTTAATGGATCCCATAGGAAGATCAGAGTTGCAAGAGGAAATATGTGGTTATAGCTAAGTGAACTTTGACTCCATAAAGTAATAACAATATAATATTGTCCTTAAAATGTATGAAATAGAATTTAAAGACATAGTAACAAATAATGAGGGGGTATTCCAAGACGATGCATTTTTAACAAGGTGGGTGAGTATATATCATTAACAAATTTTTGAAGTCTGCATTTTGAAATTTCTAATATATTAGCTAAAATTATTAAAAGCAAACTGCATTCATACCAAGAGAGAAACAGGGGAAATCAGAAGATAAATCCATACATGACAAAAAAGAAGTGAGAGATATTCTAAGAATAAGCAGGACAAATAAAACTCCAAAACTATCAATAATTAAATACAATGCAAAAGGATGAAGTTCTCCAATGAAAATATAAATCTTAACAGACTGGATGATAGTGAAATCATAATATGCTACTTATAAAAGACTAGAGTACAATATAATAACATAAAATGTAATACATTGAAAATATGAGATAAAAGCATGAAGTATGTCTTTATTAATATAAAGGTACAATTTAAGATAAAAAACATTATTAGCAATAGCAGTCACTTTATATTTATAATAAACAGTTTGATTCCCCAGGATGACAATTTTATTTATTTTTTAAAAAAGAATTAAGAGATTCATTTTTATTTATGCATAGAAGAAGACGGGTGTAGGTCAGAGGTACCATTTTTATTTATTTATACATATAAGAACTGGGATATAGGCCAGAGGTGTGGGGGGTGAGAGGATTCACCAGAGACAGAGTAGGGAGTAGAACAGAGATCTACTGGAACACACTGCTGAGGGGAGCAGAGGGCAAGACAGAAGTCTGCTGAGCCGTGTGGGTTAGCTCCCTGGCTGGGGATCAAACTTACACTGCAGTGGCTAGCCGTAGGTTGATAGTGCTAAGACTTGAACCCCTGTGCCACCAGGGAGGCCCCAAACAGTTCTATTCACCAGAATGACAATTTTAGAAGTGTATATATATCTAAGGATATGGACACAAAAGTATAAAGCAAAACTGATTGATATTCAATGATAAATTCATACATTCACAATAATAATGGGAACATAGTAGCATATTTTCCTAAATAATTGGTAGGGCAAATAGAGAAACTTCTCATTTTAAATAGAAAGTTAACACATTTAAAAATAACAGCTATAAGGGGGGTAGGAATTTTATGGAGGATATAACCAAAATGAAAATGCATACATTGTGCAAAAATGAAAAATGATGTAAGAATTATATAAAATAAAATATATTTAAAAAATATCAGCTAATAAATGGAAATGAGAACTCAAAAGCTGTATTAAGTTATGCCAGTTGTTTTAGGAATAATGGTACAAATGCTAATAATAAATACAAAATTATAAAGATTAGGGTTAAATTGTGTCTAGACATTATGCTTTATAAGTAAAATAGGACAAATTTATATTGAAAACAGAAAAATATTTAATCATTAATGCACCTAATAGTTAACTAATGAAAAACTGTATCTGAAAATGAGAGCTAATGATATATTTAGAGGAAAATACATAGTCTTAAAGTGAATATGTTCGAGGCAAAGAATGTCAGTGAGACTACTAATAAGAAAGAATATTTAACTTGCTAAATTACAAAAATTAATAATTTAACCAAGAGAACGTAGAGAAGGTGATATTAAAAGGATATAATGAAATTTAGGAAAAAACCTAAATATAAAGGTTAATTCTCTAGAGATTAATATAACTGCTAGATCTAAAACCTGATTCGTCACAAAGAGAGGACAGAGAAAGAGGGAGAGACAGAGAGAGAGAAAAACACACACAGAGAATGAGGTAAAAATTAATAGCACCTCTGAACAAATACAGTATCACTCCAGTTTCTGTAGAATTTAAAATAGTCATAGATTATTCTGTAGTATTCTGTTGAATTTTACATAAGCTCTGTAGGATTTCAATCTATAACAAAAAATGTAAAATGTTTGAAATGTGCAAATTACAAATATATAGCCATTCATCATTTACCAAAATTGGCATACAAAGATAAAGAAATTCTGAAAGCTTACATAATGATTAAAGTTATTGATTTATTAATGAAAATCTTCAGATAGAGATTTTTCAGGGCTAAACTAGTGAAACGTCCAAACCAGAAAGAAATAAATTGCTCTAATCTTAAACTAATTCCTTAAGAATAGAAATAGAATGTGCATGTTTCAAGTCATTTTGAGGCTAACCCTCAAACTAAAAATGACAAATTCAGCATTATAAAAAAATGAAAATTAGAGGCTGATCCCATTCTTAAAAGTATATTTTAAAATTCTAAGCTAATCATTAGCAAGCTATATACCTTAACATAGAAATAATAGGGGAAGATATCTTCACCAGGTTGATATTATAGCAATAATTTCAAAATGTGTTAGAAACATAATCCATGGATTTTCTGTATTAACATATTAAGGAAAAATATTGTATGAGCCTTTGAATGGATATAGAAAGTTCTTAGAAAAAATTGAACATCTATTCAAAATACTTTATTTTTTAATTGTATCATTTTTATTGAGGTAATGTTGGTTTATAGGACTGTGTATGTTTTAGGGATACAGGGTCAGATGCATATTACCTCACCATACCTAACACCTCATTTTATTTTATTTATTTTATTTTTTTAACTATACCAAATAGATTATGCATTTATTTTAAAAAATCAAATTGTATAAATACTGGTATTTTAAAACTTATATTTTAATGTGCTATCTTTCACATAAAGTCATAAACATTTTTCAGTCCCCCCAAACACTTTACAGGTCATTTTCATTTACGAACATTTTCATTTAGGCTTTGTATTAGAAGTTAATCTAATACTGGAATTCATATAAAAGGTTACATCTATTGCTTGTTTAAACCTTACTGTGCTCTGACAGGGCTTTGAAAGCATGACCAGTCAAATGAGACTAAAATCTGAGGATATTCTCATTTAAATCAAACATCAATCAGGAAGATAAACACATGCAGTTTGCAGCAACATGGGTGGAGCTGGCAGGGATCATGCTCAGCGAAAGAAGTCAGAAAGAAAAAGAAAAATACCGGATGGTCTCACTCATAGCAGGAATCTAGAAAACCTAAATAAGGGACCAGGAAAAAGAATAACTATAAGAAAGAAAAAAATCAAAATCAACAAACAACTATGAACCAGAGACACTCTATAGGG